GGGAGACATTCTTGCCTGCAGGAGGCTGCTAATTTAAAATGGCACCCAGACGTTGGTTTCTGTGTGCTGGCCGATGGAATAGATGGAATAGCCCAAGCCATGGTGGGTGTGCACGCGCGCACACACACACACACACACACACACACACACACACACACACACACCCGGTTTAAATCTCCTATCTCAAGGATTTATGGGTAAGAGACACAATGTATAACATGCAGATAACAGCCTTTTTGGCAGATAACAGCCTTTTTGGCCAACCAGGGACAGAACTGGACCATTGTCGACATCTCATGTTAGTGCCTGAATTTTTGGCTCAGGTGCGGGAAATAACATATATCTAAGTTAGAAGAAAAAGCAAACTGGATACCTAAAATAGATACGAGCAATAGGCCAGGCGCAGTGGCTCACCCCTGTTATCCCAGAACTTTGGAGGCCGAAGCCAGAGGGTTGCTTGAGCCCAGGAGTTCGAGACCAGCCTGGCAACATAGTGAGACGTCATGTCTACAAAAAAAAAAAAAAAATTAGCCAGGTGTGGTGGTGGCACATGCCTATAGTCCCAGCCACTCAGGAGGTTGAGGCAGAAGGATCTCCTGAGCCCAGGAAGTCACGGTTGAGGTGGCCGTGAACGTGCCGCTGCACTCCAGCCTGGGTGACAGTGAGACTCCCCAACTCAAAAAAGAAAAAGAACGTACCAGAGTATTCCAATTTTTAATTTTGGAAAACGATGTTATATAGCTAAATAATGCAATGGGAGAAGTTTACCAGCTCAATAATTAGCTTTGGTTTTAAATGCCGACCAGTAAGTCATGTAAAACCTGGCTGGGGCCCAAACCTCCTCGGGGTTGTCAACTCAGGGTCCACAAACTGCAGGCATCTGCAGAGACAAATACATCCAAAAAGTGGTGTGCAAGTGACATTGCTGCAACTTTTTCTTCTTGAGTTGGGGTCTTGCTCTATCCTGTCATCCAGGATGGAGTGCCATGGCAGAATCAGAGCTCATCGCAGCCTCGACCTCCTGGGTTTAGGCGATCCTTCCACCTCAGTCTCCTAAGTAGCTGGGACTACGGGCCCATGTCACCACGCTCGGCTAATATTTTGATTTTTCGTAGAGATGAGGTCTCACACTACTGCCCAGGCTGGTCTTGAACTCCTGGGCTCAAGCGATCCTCCCACCTCTGCCTCCCAAAGGGATCACAGGCGTGAGCCACCATGTCTAGCATTACAATGTTTTTATTTTACCAAGTATCTGAATTCTAGGGTAACAGGGTGGTTAACAAAAACCTTGGTCTTCACCACAAATAGCTGGAAACACACTAACTAGAATGTCTCACCTTAGACCATGTCATCCTACATAAACCAACTTGTAGGACGAGGTAAAAATGTTTCAGTACTGTCTACGTGTATCTGACTTTGGAGATTTAGAATTAATACTAGAAAGGTTTTGAAGCAGATTAACATTTTGCGTGTGTGTCTGAGTCTCGATGTCACCTAGGCTTAGGTGCAATGGGTACACTCACAGCCACCGCAGCCTCGACCTGCTGGGCTCAGGTGATCCTTCCGCCTCCACCTTCCAAGCAGCCAAAACCACAGGCACACGACACCACGCCTGGCTAGTTTTTTGATTAATTGTAGAGATGAGGGCTTGCCAAGTTGTCCAGGCTGGTCTCAAACCCGCAGGCTCAGGCAATCCTCTTGTCTCGGCCTCCCGAAGTGCTGAGATTATAGATTATAGGCGTGAACCACCAAGCCCAGCCCTTATTTTTTTCTTTACGGTAACTTTGTGATAGTAGTTTCCTGAGTGACCAACTTGCTGTGCTGCTTTTCACTCCCATTGAAGTTCTCTGTGTGCCCTTGACCAGGCCACCCTGTTGGGGTACACGCCCTCCCCAAGCCTGTAAGCATGCTAGAGTTATCCTCACACAGCACATGTCCATCTCCCACATCCTGCCCAGTGACCGCCCTAGGGGTAACCTCCCACCCGGCCCCTGGAGCTGGTTCAGCTGGCTGCCTTGCCTGCCGTCAGTGTGTCCAATGACCTTCCTGACAAAGCCCAGCCAGGCGGCTTCCCTCCTTAGGGCTACTTCCCTGGTCGCAGCTGCTCCAGCACCCACAGGTCTCAGAGCTCCCAGCGGGGCAGGCACGGGCTGGTGATGATCGCCCGTCCAGTTCCGCCAGCATGGCATCCGACCACCCCAATTAACCCAGATCCCATGCCACCACCTGAGTGCTCCGGGGCCTGGAATAACTTGATCTGAATCCTTCTGGACTCCGGATCTCTCAGGAAGCCTCTCCTGACCTATTACCCCAGCGCCCGCCCACATCTTGCCTGGGATAAGGGCCTTGCCCGTGTTCCCAACTGCACCCTGTCAATAACTCCACCAGAGAACTCGCCGGGTCCCAGCGACATCATGTTTTCGTGTTTGTCACTCACTCAAGGGCAGGAACTCATAACCTAATACAAGCAAGGGTACGAATGTTTGTTAACCCCCCAAAAGCCTGGATCCCAGAGGAAACTGTTTTTATCTATTTGGTTCCAAATTTGTGTTTAGATTTTGGCTTTTAACAAATAGGAATTGGACCTTCCAGTACTAGTAGCGTTTTCATTTTACTTTTCAACGTTTAAGCCCCAATACCCAGAGATCGTTTCCACATTGTCTTTGAGATTCTCTGACTTTGATCATTCCCAGCTCACCTCAGCTGAGTCTGAGCTCATCTGAAGAACCTGGTAGCTGTATGTGGGGGCTTTAGCGGCTACTGTCTCAAAGGCGGAGTTCTAGATTCTTCCTTTTTCCGGAACTATTCCCTCAATTGCTCAGAAAGGGATGTTAAGATCTCCAACTGTGATTGTGAATTTGTCCCTCCAGTTCTGTTGGTTTCCCGATTTATCTTGGGGCACTATTAGTAGGCACACAAATGTTTGTAACTGATGTGTCTTCCTAAGTTTAACTTCTTTCTTCTGCTATGAAACCTTCCTCTTTATCTCTGATAATACTCCTTATGATTACTATTTGCATACTATCTTTCCTCATCATTTTAGCTTCAACTTTTTGTTTTTGAACTTTATTATTTTTAATTTTTTAACTTTTATGTATTTTTTAATGTATTTGCCTTTTGTAGACAGCATATATTGGGTCTTGCTTTTTAAAATATAGCCTGGGGGCCAGGCACAGTGACTCAAGCCTGTAATCCCAGCACGTTGGGATAATCCCCAGGTGAGAGGATTATCTGAGCTCAGGGGTTCGAGACCAGCCTGAGCAAATGGGTGAGATCTCATCTCTGCAATAAATCAAAAAATTAGCTGCACCTATGTGGCAGTGCGTGCCTGTTGTTCTGGTTTCTTGGCTGAGGTGTGGAAGGATTGCCTGTGCCCAGCAGGTCAAGGCTGTGGTGGCCATGAGCATGCCACCGTACTCCAGTCTGGGTGACAGAGACTCCAACTCAAAAAAAAAAAAAAAAAAAAATATATATATATATATATATATATGTATATTCTGGGGCCAGGCACTGTGGCTCACACTTGAAATCTCAACACTTTGGGAGGCTGAGGCAGGAGGATTGCTATGTTCTAGCCTAAAAAATCAGCTGAACATGCTGGCACACACCTATGTTCCCAGCTACTGAGGCTGAGGGGGAAGGACTGCTTGAGCCCAAAGGTTGAGGCTTCACTGAACTGTAATTGTGCCACTGCACTCCAGCCTGGGTGAAAGAGACCCCACAAAAAAAAAAAAAAAAAAAAAAAATCTAACTATGCGCTGACATTCTGCCTTTTGCTCTGTTTTGCATATGGGTTTTTCTACCTTTCTCATGTCTTTTGTTTTTTAAACTGTTTCATACCTTTTTTTTTTTTTTTGAGTTGGAGTCTCACTCTGTCGCCCAGACTGGAGTGCAGTGGCCGCTCCCGGCCACCGCAGCCTCGACCTGCTGGGCTCTGGCGATCCTTTCGCCTCAGCCTTCCGAGTAGCCGGAATTACAGGCATGCGCTACCACACCCGGCTGATTTTTTTTTGATTTATCGTAGAGATGAGGTCTCACTACCCAGGCGGGTCTCGAACCCACGGGCTCAGGCAATCCACTCACCTCAGCCCTTTTTCTTTTTTTTTTGAGTTGGAGTCCCACTCTGTCACCCAGGCTGGAGTGCTGTGGCCCACTCATGGCCACCCCAGCATCAACCTGCTGGTCTCCGGCGATCTCTCCGCCTCAGCCTTCCAAGTAGCCGAACTGTAGGCGTGCGCTACCACACCCAGCTAATTTTCTGCTATTTTATTGTAGAGACAAGGTCTCACCAAGTTGCCCAGGTTGGTCTCCAACCCGCAGACTCGCAATCCACTCACCTCGGCCCCCAAAGTGTCGGGATTAAAGGCTGAGCCACCGAGCCCGGCCTCATGCTTTTCTAAAACCAGTTTTCAGCATTTTAGTTTTTGTATTGACCAGATTTCTTACAGGCCCATGTTATGCAGTGGCTGCTTTCCACTTTCCACTGGAGGCCGACAAGATGCCTGACACCCACCCTGCCAGGACCTGCCAGTCCACACACAAACACAAAACACAACCACAACAGGCCAGCTGTCCTTCTGCTTCCTCCTGCTGATCGCTGACACCTAGATCTTGGTGGGCACGTCTGTGGGTGGCACATGGCCAAGTGTTTCCTTCCCAGAAACGAACTCCTACCCTTCTGCCACTCCCGGTAGCACGCACCACCCCAGGCCTGACCGCGTGTCAGAACCGTGGCCTGCTGGCTCCTGCTTGGTGGGCACCTCGTTCAGGGGAGAGCATCGGGCCCGGGTGCCTGCCCATCAGTGAGCCCCTGGAGAGCCCTGGCGCTCCCACACACCGCACCATCCCCTGTGGACACTGCCGGAGTCACCCAAGCCTTTCCTCGGTGGCAGCTGGTCTTGCCAAAATATCCTCTGTCCTCTCACACTTTGGTCTTCATAGCGTACAACTCTTTGTAGAACAGCATTTCCCGCATGGCAAAGTGTTGCAGAAACAAGACATACTAATTCACCTAGGTCTTTATTTATTTGGCTCTAGGAAGATTTGCATGAAAATGAGCCTGTATGGCAGGTACAGAGTGAACTGTGACAGCACCAGAGAGGCACACCCTCCCCTCGCACAGCCTCCGGACTTAGCAGGTACATGTGACTTCAGTCTGAAACCAGACAGTCCAGTAAAAGGAGCCCTTCAGGAAAAGAAGCAGTTGATGACTTCCCAAAATGACCACTCTTTTCATATTCTTGAATTCAAGCAACAGATACATTCAGAGGCCCAAATGTTGGCATAGAATAAAATCATGTTCATTTATTTTCTGCATTGTAGAATTAGAAGGCATAAAATTAAATATGTCGAATGTAATAAATTCATCCATACAAGTGCAAGTCTCCAGCTATAATGCATTTTATGGCAGATTTATTATTTAAAAAAATGTACCAGTAAATCAAAAAAGAGGGAGTATGTCCATTTAACTTTTATTGAAGTGTATGTAGGAGGTCTTCAGAAATCAAATATGAGCATGAAGATATGGTCAAACATAAAATCTATCAAATTCAGTGAAAAGTTGCTGACTTTAAATAGTACTTGTAAGAATGACCAATATATATTCTTTGTTAACAACCCCTCACTCTACAGTAAAAAAAAAAATAAAATAAACATTCAGTAAACATTCTTTCCTAAGGTAGTTTCCCTTATATAGCAGTGATTTATCCATTTCTTTGTATACACAAATTTGTTGAACATACCAATCAGTGGTTCTCACAATTGAAAAATAAAAGCACAAAAAAGTTTACACTCTTGTACAGGTAAATGAAAGATCACCTCGAATTAAACTGGATCTCCTTAAGGGCATAGTATAGTTCAGCTTCATTACCTATTACATAATTAGTTTCTTACATACAAATATGGACATATTTGGCTTGTGCTTCGAAGCCTTTGTGTCTAGGAAGTCCACATCGAGCAGCTCATAACTGGAAGTCGCTGGGGAGTTCTTTGCTGCTGCCAGGCTTGACGTGATCGTGCAGCACAGTCTCCTCAGCACCTGCTGTGGCCCTGCACACCTCCGAGGTGTCATCGGAGTCGGGGTCCAAGCCCTCAGGGCAGGGAAGCTTGAGCAGCTCTTCGCGGAGCTGAGCGGTGTGACGCTAAGTGGGAGAAAACGGCCGATGTTAGAACGGGAAACATTGGGAGCCAGCACAGCCTTTGCTGAGGGAGGAACCCAAGGCCTTCGGACCACAAATACCCACCGAGTAACTCCTGAGCAAGCCGCTGTTACAGAGAAACTGACGAAGAGCCCTGAGCAACGTCCCCACAAACCCAACCATGCCCCCAAAGCATGTCCCACACGGCCTGACTGACGCCCTCTAGGACATCGCTATTTTGAAACATAGTAACCCCTCGACTTGTCATCCATGCTGCCTCTGAATGAATGCTTTTGAGAGAATACAAGTCCTTAAATGGAAATAGATCCACACTGCTATTTTACTAAATGAAAACAAGTATTTATCAGGTACCAGGTCTAATGTTTACATGTCTGCAAAATGGTCACACTAATTTTTCTCCCTTAATGGTTGTAACAAACCTCAGAAATAATCTTTTCGTTAGAATTCTTAAAAATTTAAACAAGCTGGGCTTGGTGGCTTAGCCTGTAATCCCGCGCTTTGGGAGGCTGAGGTGAGTGGATTGCCTGAGCCCGCCGGGTTCGAGACCCACCTGGGCAACTTGGCGAGACCTCATCTCCACAATAAATAAAAAATAAGCCAGGTGTGGTAGCGCGTGCCTGTAGTTCCAGCTACTTGGAAGGCTGAGGCGGAAGGATCGCCGGAGCCCAGCAGGTCGAGGCTGCGGTGGCCGGGAGCGGCCACTGCACTCCAGTCTGGACAACTGAGTGAGACTCCAACTCAAAAAAAAAAATTAAGCAAAAATGACTTACAGAAGGATGTGGGAACATTGACAGAGAGTGGGTGATCGTCTACAAATGTAAGATTTGGTTTATGATTTTCTGATGGGAGACAAATGACCTTAAATATCACACCAAGGTCTTTGAAAATTAGTTTTTATCAATAGCTGACTTTGAAAATTAAGAAACATAGAGCCCAGCACGGTGGCTCATGTCTGTAATCCCAGCACTTTGGGAGGCAGAGGTGAGAGCATTGCCTGAGTCCAGGAGTTCAAGACCAGCCTGGGCAACATGGTGAGACTTCGTCTCTATAATAAATCAAAAAAGTAACTAGGTGTGGTGGTGAGTGCCTGTGGTTCCAACTACTTGGAAAGCTGAGGTGGAAGGATTGCCTGAGCCCAGCAGGTCAAGGCTGTGGTGGCCGTAAGTGTGCCACCACTCTCCAGCCTAAGCAGAGGAGATGCTGACTCCAAAAAAGAAAAAAGAGAGAAGAAAATTAACCAACATTTACAGAACAATTTTTACATCCGAGACTTGTACTGACCTTGTAAGGCAAAGATTGTCAGCCTGACTTCCCTTGCAGTCAAGGTGGAAACACTGGCCAGGGAAGGAGCAAGGAAAGGCTGGCACGGTAGGGAACCTGACTCCCTTGGAGGGCTCTCACAGGTCAGCCGCACGCCTTTCTTGGCAGCACTCAACCAAAGGCATGGGTGACACGACAACTTGATTGAATCAGTGAGATTACAGAGTGACGCAGAAAAAACGCAGTGAAAACCTTGGGGAAGACAGGACGCTGACAGAAACGACCAAGCTGGGAGAGGAAAGAGGCTGCATGTCCACTGTGGAGCCACCTGAGGGAAGCTGTGCCCAGGCTCACCTGGGGGCCAGCCTGGCCAACCTGCTCAGGCACAGGGGAACACAGGGGGAAAGCCTGGCCCGGGAGGGGGAGTGGTGGGGGGCAAACAGATGAGCGTGGGAAGCGCAGAGAAACAACGCGCAGAGAGGGGTCAAGGGTCTCACAATGGCGACACAGACTCAACCTGGACCTGCCTGGGTACACTCAGGAAGGAGGAGTTAGGGGGCATCTGAAGATGAGGGAGATGCCGAAAGCTAAAAAACCTGACGTGAGGAAAAGAAGTGTCAGACCTTTAGGGAGGGGCCACAGGACATTAAGTAACAAGGGTCACCAGTGCAGTCAGCAGAAAGCTAAGGACAGACAGCAGCCAAGGATCACCTTTAGGGAATACTAGAAAGAAAACAGAACAGTCCTGAAGAGCAGAAAGTAAGCCTTCAGGCACACAAGCACTCAGGGGAAGGTGAAAAAAAACCCAGGCCGAAGGAGTTACAATAAAGACTGTAAGAGAGTCAAGCCCGTCCACAGTGTGTGAACAGGATGGTAGCAAGACAAGCCTCGGAGTTCCCGGTATGTCCCAGGCAGGCCTGGCTTCCCAAGGCTCACAGGGAAGGGCCTGTCATGCAGCTGAATTCAAAATGGAGGTAAGCAAGAGGGAGGGGAGACGCCAAGAGGAGAGGCAGCCTGTGCAAGCTGAAGGGGGCGAGCCAATGGTGAACAGTCCAGTCAGCCAGGGCAGGGATCGGGTTGCTGGCAGATGGAGGTCAGGCTGCGAGAGGTTCCAGAGTGAGGCAGGAGCACTCACTGCACTAGGCAGACAGCAAGAGAAGAGAAACTGTCTGACAATAACAAGCACAAAACAAGCCAGCTGAGGGGTTTTCTCTCCTTTTAAACGTTTTTAAAATGGCAAATTTTAAAGATATGCAAAAGCAGGCAGAATAGTATGTGTATGTGTCTACCATCAGCTTCAGACCTGATGGGCTTTGGCCAGTCCTGTTTCTTTCTCTTTTTTCTTTTGTGAGTTGGAGTCTCACTCTGTCGCCCAGACTGGAGTGTAGTGGCTGCTCTGGGCCACCGCAGCCTCGACCTGCTGGGCTCCAGCGATCCTTCCACCTCAGCCTTCCAGTAGCTGGAACTACAGGTGCGTGCTACCACACCCGGCTAATTTTTTATTTATTGTAGAGATGAGGTCTCGCCAAGTTGCCCAGGCGGGTAGGCAATCCACTCACCTCAGCCTCCCAAGGCGCAGGATTACAGGCTGAGCCACCGAGCCCGGCTGGCCAGTCCTGTTTCATCCATACCCAGCACCTGGTGCTTCTCCTTTTATTTGGAAGCAAATCCCAGACAACACCTGGTTTCTCATTCATATTTTTGTGCATAACCTAAGAAAACAGGGACCTTTTTAAAAATCACACCTAAAGAAACGAACACATCCTGACCATCATCTTCTGGTCTGTCAAGTGAAGGCAGTTTGAGAGGTAGCAGAAACAGGGCCGGCGAGGAGGGACAATCTAAAGCTGGGAGGGGACAGGTGGCAGAGGAAGGAGGAACAGCAATGAGGACAAACAGACATCAGAGGTCGGAAAAGGGGTGTTGCAGGGAGTGGCACCACATGGACACAGCCCTCCCAACCCCTACGTTCAACCTACCTTCCCTAAAACCGGGCTGCATCCCAGCTGCTGCCACCCCTGCCTCATCCCTCCCAAGACGATATACCAGAAGATGCCTCAGGAAAGGCTCAGGGAATGCACAGAGGTGTTCATGGGCACACCTGGTCGCCACCACCCTCAGAGAAATCCACTAGCCTCTGCCGGCTGAGTCTCTGAATCCACTTGTACCTTTAGGAACTACCTCCGCTGGTAAGGGCAGGTATCTTGGCAAGAGACCCTGGGCAGTACTCTCATTCTCTGGACTTAACAATAAATGTTTTTTTTTCTTTCTCTTTTGAGTTGGAGTCTCACTCTGTCACCTAGACTGGAGTGCAGTGGGATGCTCCAGGCCACCACACCCTCGACCTGCTGGGCTCAGGTGATCCTTCCACCTCAGCGCTCCAAGTAGCTGGAACCACAGATGCGCACGACCATGCCTGGCTAAGATGAGGTCTTGCCAAGTTGCCCAACCTAGTTTCAAACTTCCAGGCTCATGCTCAGCAAAAATAAATGTTATGTTTCTCTGATTCCCTTCCCCCCTGAAGGAGCGTGTGGTGGGCGCCCACTCACCTTGAGAGCTGCCGCGTGATGAGACATGGTCCTGCCCACCCGCTTGTCACTGCTGTACTGCTGGATGTCTGCAATCCACTCCTCACACTGGGCCATGATCTCAACTCTCTTCAAGTAAAAATGTTTGTGTATAACCTTGAGGGGGAAAAAAAAAATCAATGTTTAAGGTCAAGATTTAAAAGATGCAGTAAATGGCATTATGGAGAATGAAATACAAAAGATGCCTTCCTATCTATAAAACTCAATGAGGGGCCCTACGTTACTAACAGGGAAGAATCAGGCTCATGACACCAGCTGAGCTCAACTGAACCCAAGTAGCCAGTTCCACAGCAGCAACAAGTGTCCCCACCTGCTCAGACACTCAAATGATCCCATCCAGGAGCACAAGATGCATGTGATGCAAGACATTCAGAAGGTGAATACCAATATAGAAGTCATTTGGAGAAAGGGGCTGGAAAAGTCCTGATAACAGAAAACTTTCTGTCTTTCAAAGAGAACTGAAAGAACATCTTGATAAGTATATTTTAAATGACAAAGGCATTCACACAATCAGAATGGAGTCCTAAAAACGATACTGTTATTACTCTCTTACTTTAATCTTCTGGTTAATTTATGGATAAAATTTTATTTCACAAAGTTACATTTTCTTGTAATAACTGCACATTCGGGACTTTAACACAAAGTAAAATTTCTTGCTGTGTAAGTAGTAAGAGTCTATTTTTGACAAATTTAAATCAGAAAACAGACATCAGTTTGGAAATGCTCTGTTATCTGGTTGAGCTACTACATTATCCAATGAGCTTCTCTGTCCTCAAGAAAAGACAAACGACCTACAGAGGCAAACCACAAGAAAGACCTGGGAAGGAACGGCTCTTAACACACTTCTTAACACATAGTCACTGGGTTTGAAGCCCAAGGGGATATGAAAGTGAGCGACACACAGCTTCACATAAGAACCCCAGCCACAAGCCAGGCTCGGTGGCTCAGCCTGTAATCCTGCGCCTTTAGGAGGCTGAGGTGAGTGGATTGCCTGAGCTTGCAGGTTCGAGACCCGCCTGGGCAACTTGGTGAGACCTCATCTCTACAATAAATAAAAAAAAAATTAGCCGGGCATGGTAGCATGCACCTATAGTTCCAGCTACTTGGAAGGCTGAGGTGGAAGGATCGCCGGAGCCCAGCAGGTCGAGGCTGCGGTGGCCGGGAGTGTCCACTGCACTCTAATCTGGGCGACAGAGTGAGACTCCAACCCCCTCCCCCCAAAAAGAACCCCAGCCACAGAACAAGATGGGTGGGGAGCGTGCCAGACAAAGATGCTTTAAAAAACAACATCAACAAACAAGCAAGAGTCCATTTGATAAGGCGAATCAGAGAGGCTTTATGGGCAAGGAGTACCTCTTAATGCAAGCTAGGTGCTAAGAAATGAAAAGGAGTATAAGCATTTGCTTTTACTAAATCATCTCCCTACTCTGTGTTTCCTGTGTTTATTCTCCTAAAAAAAATTTATGCGTAAACCAACAAATTAAAATTATTTTTGGAGAGTGGTTGGGGACTTGCTCTGTCACCCAAGCTGGAATGCAGTGGCACAATCACAGCTCACCACAGCCTTGACCTCTTGGGCTCAGGTGGTCCTCCTGCCTCACTCGTCCAAGTGGCTGGGACTACAGGCATGTGCCACCACACCTGACTAATTTTTTTGATTTTTCTAGAGCTGAAGTCTCCCTGTGTTGCCTAAGCTGATCTCAAACTTCTAGGCTCAAGCGATCCTCCCACTTCTGCCTCTCTATGTACTGGGATTACAGGTGTGAGCCACAACACCCGATCAGGCTATTTTTAATACACTTTTTTTGTTTGTTTGTTTTGAGTTGGAGTCTCACTCTGTCGCCCAGACTGGAGTGCAGTGGCCACTCCCGGGCACCACAGCCTCGACCTGCTGGGCTCCGGTGATCCTTCCGCCTCAGCCTTCCGAGTAGCCAGAATTATAGGCATGCGCTACCACGCCCAGCTGATTTTTTCATTTATTGTAGAGATGAGGTCTCGCCAAGTTGTCCAGGCAGGTCTCAAACCCGCGGGCTTAGGCAATCCACTCATCTCAGCCTCCCAAGGCATGGGGTTACAGGCTGAGCCACCAAGCCCAACCTTTAATACACTTTTAAACTGAAGTTTTCCATATACAGAACACTACACATGTCATATGTAAACAACTGAAAGTACTTTCCCACTATGGACCCAGAAATGTAACCTCTATTGAGAGAATATACAGAATGTGACACGCACACCAGAATCCTCTCTCAACAATAATTCTTATCCACAAGTACACACTGTCCCAACTTCTTTAAGAATGAGATACCTCTGCTCACTTTTTGGTCTGTTTTGAGTCAGGGTTTCACTCTGTCACCCAGACTGGAGTGCAGTGGTACGATCATAGCTCACCAAAGCCTTGAGCCTCTGGTCTCAAGTAATCCTTCCACCTCAGAATCCTGGGTAGCTTAGAACCACAGGTGTGTGCCACCACATCCTGTTAATTTTTTACTTTTGTGGAGACAATGTCTTGCTATGTTGCCCAAGCTGGTCTTGAACTTCTAGGCTCAAGCAATCCTCCCACCTAGGCCTCCCAAAGTGCTGGGATTACAGGCATGAGGCACTGCACCCTGCCTCATTTTTGAACGCTATATAAATGGAATCATTTAAATGGAGTCATTGCCGGGCTCAGTCGCTCAGCCTGTACTCACGCGCCTTTGGGACGCTGAGGTGAGTGGATTGCCCGAGCCCGCAGGTTCGAGACCCACCTGGGCAGCTTGGCGAGACCTCATCTCTACAATAAATCAAAAAATTAGCCAGGCGTGGTAGCGCGTGCCTGTAGTTCCAGCTACTTGGAAGGTTGAGGTGGAAGGATCACCGGAGCCCAGCAGGTCGAGGCTGCAGTGGCCGGAAGCGGCCACTGCACTCCAGTCTGGGTGACAGAGTGAGACTCCAACTCAAAATCAATCAATCAATCAATGGAGTCATTTATAGAGGAAAGGAAGAATCAAGACTTCAGTATGGCACACTGCTAAGTCTGAGATGACTTAAACATACTAGTGGAGCTGTCAAGTAGTGTAAACATCTGCATTCAATACTTGAGTATTATGGGCACTAAAGAGTTAACTTACAATGCAAGCAGAAGGGATCTAAGTTTTTCAAGGGCAGGAACTAAGTTTCTTTACCCTCAAGTTTCCAGCACCTTAGCACAGTGCCTAAAAACAGGTGACATTAATATGGATGCAAAATGAGTAAATAAGTATGAGTAAGAGGCATCTATACTGTACTATTACTGATTTTGGAGGGGGTTAACTCTAAAAATAAAAGTTTAGGACATCATGAGCGCTTAGTCCTTGCCCTAAAAATAAAGCCAAGTATAATACTAGCAGACTATGTGGTGTACTGACTTCCACAGAGCATTCCACTGATTTACCTCTTTAAAACATGGCGAAGGGTTTCTGATTTGCTCTAGCATGGCCCACTTAACTGTCGCTTGTCGGATGTTTCCATCATATTCCCGAGAACTCTGAGTGCCACTGGGAGTGCCTCTAGATCGCTCATATCCTGGTTCATTAAAATAAGGCTCAGCTACTAATATCAGGGACTGGACAGACACCAGGACCTGCGGAGTAAAGGAAATAAAGCACCGTTAGGAGGAGACATGTTCACTTTGAGTAAACTGATACCCTGCTTTATCCACAAGGAGTCTTTCTTTTTTTTTTTTTGAGTCAGCATCACACTGTGTTGCCCAGGCTGGAGTGCAGTGGCACTATCACGGTCACTGCAGGTTCCATTAGCTGGGCTCAGGCAATCCTTCTTCCTCAATCTTCTAAGTAGCTGGAACTACAGGCATGGTCACCATGCCCACATGATTTTTTTGATTTACTGTAGAGAGGAGGTCTCACCATGTTGCCCAGGCTGGTCTCGAACTCCTGGGCTCAGGCAGTCCTCTCACCTCTGCCTCCCAACATACTGGGATTACAGGGATGAGCCATCACGCCTGGCACACAAGGAGTCTCTTTTAGCATGTGTTCCCATATGCTATTTGCTACAATAAAATTGATGTTCATGATTATGACAATGAAATATTATTAAAGATTAAATTAGGTACAGTAAAGCCTTACATAATACTTATATATCTGTTATATAAGATTTGTTTTTTTTTATACTCAGAGTCTCACTCTGTCACCCAGGCTGGAGTGCAGCAGCATGTTCATGGCCACTGGAGTCAAGACCTGCAGGGTTCAGGCAATTCTTTCACCTCAGCCTTTCAAGTAGCTGGAAGCACAGGTGCGTGCCTCTATGCCTGGTTAATTTTTTTATTTATTGTAGAGACAAGGTCTCGCGCCAAGTCATCCAGGCTGGTCTCGAATCCCTGGGCTCAGGCAATCCTCTCACCTCAGTCTCCCCAAAGTGCTGGGATTACAGGCTTGAGCCATTGTGCTCGGCCCTGTTCTTACTCTTACAGAGCATAAGTTGGTCATGCATTCTTAACAATACTCATCTGTATGAAAAACTACACAAGTATTAAATTTCTATTCCGGGAAATTAACTGCCACAGTACAACAAAAACCTTATTACTGGAAATCCATGTTGCAAGATGGTCTTGTGGTTCTTTTTTTTTTTTTTTTTTTTTTGAGTTGGAGTCTCACTCTGTCGCCCAGTCTGGAGGGCAGGGCCGCTCCCAGCCACTGCAGCCTTGACCTGCTAGGCTCCGGCGATCCTTCCGCCTCAGCCTTCCGAGTAGCTGGAATTACAGGCATGCGCTACCATGCCCGGCTGATTTTTTGATTTACTGTAGAGATGAGGTCTCACAAAGTTGCCCAGGCGGGTCTCAAACCCGCGGGATCAGGCAATTCCCTCACCTCAGCCTCCCAAAGCGCAGAATTACAGGCTGAGCCACCAAGCCTGGCTTGGTCTTGTGGTTCTAAGGTCACTTCTGTCCCCTGCTTATATACTAACAGAAGGCTTGTTTCTCCACAAGGAACACATACTAAGAGAGCTCATCTCTAGTGAATATACTATTACTCCTAGTGAATACAGCTCTGTAACTAGCTCATATAACCTCAGATGCCATTTGCCCACTTCGTAAATAAAAGGATGAAAGCAATTATAGGCAAGATGATTAAATTAACCAGGCAAGATGATTAAATAATGCCATAGACATACATCTTAGAAATGCAGGGATGGATTTCCTTTGAAAACTTTAAAAATGAATACTTAAGCCTGAAATATTGAGCCTAAGAACAGAAATGGACAAATGTGACCTGGAGTGATAGTGTGGAGGCCAAGTACAGTTAACTATAGGAAAACATTGAATCTGTTCAATTCCAAGCCAAAATTCATTCTCTCTCTTTCTCTCTTTTGGTTTGCTTCAGTCAGGGTCTCCTCTGCCACCCAGGCTGGAGTGCAGTAGCACAATCATACCTCACCACAGCCTCAATCTCCTGGGTCAGGTGATTCCCCCCTCCTCAGCCTCTCAATTAGCTGGGACTACAGGTGTGCAACACCATACCTGGCTAAAGTTGTCATGTAGTATTTTTGAAACTTTCTGAAACTAAATACATTGAAGAAAAGTGGTTTTCCTCTGGTTACACAGTCTCCCTTAATTAAAACCTGACACTTCTGAGATCACCTTCCAGGGCAGTTATCGTGCAGTGGTACAACCACAGTTCACCATAGCCTCGACCTCCCGGGCTCAAGTGATCCTTCTGCCTCAACCTTCTGAGTAGCTAGGACTACAGGCATGTGCTACCACGCCTGGTTAATTTTTTTAATTTTTGTGTAGAGACGAGGTCTCACTAAATTTCCAGGGCGGTCTTGGGCTCAAGTTATCCTCCTGCCTCAGCCTCCCAAAGTTCTGGGATTACAGATGTGAGCCCCCACACCTGTCCTGTTTATTTTTTAAATGTACCTTTTGGAAGTATATAAATGCCACATAAATTTTTTTTTACAGTAACCTTTGCTGTGTAAGAGTGATAATACTAATTTTAGGGAACTTCTAGACACCTGGATTATCTGGATCAAATAGTCATTTTATTTCACAGCACACCTTATCATGGTCCATAAAACACTGGGTATGAAATAAGGAGTGAAACAGTAAATCCTTGGAATGAAGGATTTCTCCATTTTAAAATAATTTGATTTTCAAGATTCCAAAAAAAGAAAGAAAAAATGGCAATAAGCACGTTGGTTAACATTCATGACCCTTTTAAAATGGCTGACTGCACAAAATATCCCTTGTGTAACTCTTCTTGCACTGTCAAGCATGGGGATTAACATCTAGTTAGAGCAAACCATTCACAATGAATTAACAGGCACTTCACCGGGTCAGTAACAGCCAAAGCCAGTTACGTAATGGCCTTGATGATGCTACAGTTGATGATGCTACTCATCAACTGTAAGCTTGCTCACGATAGTTCTGATGAACATGACTCTTAAGTTTAAATTATGCAGTCAAGACTATTATCAGGTTAATGCTACATATGAAACTTATGACATTAGATTGAAAACTATGGTATTTTTATACAAATAATTATTATTCTTTTAGGAGTCTCCTGCAAAGAAACTAAGTAATTATTCTAATAATGCTGGTCACTATCTTAACATTTTTTGGGAAAAAATGTCAAGGTAGCAAAAGAATCTTTCTCCTTTATATATATGTAGTAAATAAAAGTGCTGAGTACACGATCAGGTTCCAAAGTCTAACTAAAATGAAATTAAGTCAGTTTTTTGAGGCTTCTTAGCCTTTTTTCTAGAGAAAAAGTTTCAAAGAGAACACCACAAAGCAATGTGCTTCTGCCTAGTGGCATTTACTTCTGGTATAGCATTAATAAATCATCACAAGAAAACTACAGAACTCTTATTAATATGGAAAAATCCTCAAGCAAGGCTGGGCACAGTGGCTCAAGTCTGTAATCCCAGCACTTTGGGAGGCTAAGGCAAGAGGACTACCTGAGCTCAGGGGTTCAAGACCAGCCTAGGCAACTTAGTGAGACCTCATTTCTACAGTAAATCAAAAAATAAGCTGGTGTGGTAGCATGCACCTGTAGTTCCAGCTACTCGGAAGGCTGAGATGGAAGGATCTCCTGAGCCCAGCAGATCAGGGCTGCAGTGGCCATGAGCGTGCCACTGCACTCCAGCCTGGGTGACAGAATGAGACTCCAACTTCAAAACAAAACAAACAAAATACTCAAGCAAAATATTACCAATCTGAATCTAATATAAAGAATTACGTACCATGACCAGGTGGGATGTATTCCAGAAAGGGCAAGGAATGAATGAACTGACATCAATTAACACACAGTTATGTGTTATTTAACACTGAGGATGCGTTCATTAGGCAATTTTGTCATTGTGCCAACATCACTGAATGTACTTACACAAACGTAGAAGGTGGAGCCCACTGAACACCTAGGCTATATAAGATGTCGTAGTGCTCCTAGGCCATGAGCCTGCATTGTGACTGTATTAAATTCTGCAGGCAATGTGACATAATGCTAAGTATTAGTGCATCTAAACATATCGAAACACAGAAAAGGTGCAGTAAATATATGGTATTGCACCCTTTTGAGACTACTGTCATATATGCAGTCTATTGTGGGCCAAAACGTCATAATGCGGTACATAACTGCAAAAGATCATATCAATAGAATAAAAACAAAAATCACACCATCATTTCAATAGATGCAGAAAAAGAATGAACAAGATCCAACATCCTTTTATGATATACTCAATAAACTCGGAGTAGAAGGAACCTCCTTAACATGAAAGGAATTCACAAAAAAAACCCAGGTAACATCATACTCAATGGGGAGGGACAGGAAGTTTCCCCTGGATTTGGAAGAAGACAAGGATATCATCACCCCTTAACCCTGCCCAGGCAATCTTGTCACAGATCTAGAAATCCAGATCCAGGAAACTTCCTGAAACATAGACAAAGCCATATAATTAACAGTAAAACAAATTAGAAGTGAACTACTTCGTCAATAATGAGGAATAGCTGAATTTATCGTATGAACTCAAATGATTATACGCAATTAAAAATTATAAAAATGTTCTCACTCATATAGTGGACCTTGAACATCCAACGTAATACTATAAGAAAATGACTGACAGTGATGGGAAACTATGGCGGGAGAGGGGAAGGGAGTTGGGATTAATGGTAGTAAATATCTGTCTGGGGATGGGGAGACACCTCTTATCAACAGGGGTGCCTGAACGAAGCATATTTGAATACCTAACCCTTAATTGTACCCCACAATATCATAATAAAAAATATTGATTAAAAAAATTATAAAAATGCAATTTGGAAAAATAAATACGCTCTAATGTTAAGTGAACAGAGCAGCACCTAAATAATTTATCTATGTTAATTATAGCCATGGGAACTAGATATGTGACTCAAAAGACCCTGAAGGGAATAGACAGAAAAAGTCTTTTTTTTTTTGAGTTGGAGTCTCACTCCGTCGCCCAGACTGGAGTGCAGTGGCCACTCCCAGCCACCGCACACTTCACCTGCTGGGCTCCCGCGATCCTTCCACCTCAGTCTTCCAAGTAGCTGGAACTACCGGTGCATGCTACCACACCTGGCTAATTTTTTATTTATTGTAGAGATTAGGT